AAAAAAAAAAAAAAAAAAAAAAAAAAAAAAAAAAAAAAAAAAAAGAAATTAAGAGAAGTGGAAAGACTTGCTTGCTATATACGTTTTTGAAAAATATACTAAATAGAAACAAGACATTGCCCCATACATGAGGCTCATGGCAATTCCACAGCTGAGCTTGTTGTGAAGTCAGGGACCTTCTCTCTTAACCATTATGTTTATTCAGATTTGTTAATAGATTTTTAATTGTTAGAGATGGGAAGCAGGGGAAGAGTTGTTTTAAAAGAGCTGCCATAATGCATATCTCCTCTTCGCCTCCCAATGAACTGTGTTAAAGGAGAGGTTAAGGGAGTCTGAGAGAGGAGGAGGAGGGGAAACAAATATAGAACAAGATGCATGTTGAACATTGCCACTTGCTCAGTTGTTTGCCACTGTTGCATCTGATTCCCCATGTTTGTCAACTCAATGTCTGTTTAGATTGTAAGCTCCCCAGAACATAGATCTTGATCTAAACTCTCTTTTAAGATGTGGCCCCTCTGTGCTATTCCAGTGACATGAAGGGGGCCCTTGCAGAACACACCTGACATAGTGAGAGGCTGAGCTGTCTATGTACTTATAGCCTTTGTTACTGTGGTAACTGAATACCTCAGTTATATTAAAGAATTTTTATCCTCACAACATTCCTGTGATGTAGAGAAGAATCATCCCCATTGTACAGATGGGGAACTGACACACAGAGTAGATTAACTGATTTACCCAAGGTCACACGGGAAGTCTTTGGCTGAGCTAGGAATTGAACACAGATCTCTTTAGGCTTACTTAGGCCAATACCTTTTGCACTACAATCAGGGGTTCTCAAACTTCATTGCACTGCAACCCCCTTCTGACAACAAAATTACTACATGACCCCCAGGGAGGAGGGGGCGGGGTGGGTAAAAGCCCAAGCCCCGCTGGCCCAGGTGGTGGGAGAGGGGGCCAGAGCCCAAGCCCCACCACCCCAGGTGTGGGTGGAGCTCAGGCTTCAGCTTCAGCCCTGGGTCCCAGCAAGTCTAGTGCTGGCCCTGGTGACCCCAATAAAATGGGGTTGCGACCAACTTTGGGGTCCCGACCCACAGTTTTAGAACCGCTACCTCATTATCTATTCTTCTCTGACCCTATAGTCAGCCTCAAGTCTGGCCCTAGGTGTTTTGCCGGCCTGGGTAGAAATAATTTCCAGCGCCTTCCTTGGAGCAGCCAAGCTAAAAACCTCCAAAATTCAGCTGGGTCTATGCTATTCCTTCCTGCCCCTTGCATAGAAGATTTATATGGAGATGGCCAGTGTAGGCAAGGAAGGGAACGGGGTGGGATTGCTGGAGTACAGTGCACTCCGGCTATTTTATGCCAGCATAATAATGTATAGATTTCAGACAGTAAGACATATTAGAAAGTGGAATTCTCCCAAAGTAAGTGCTGGTAGACCTTTTACTTGGGATTTTAAAAGCTAGATTGGACTAACACTAGAAATTGTACTACGAGGATTAATTCTGCTTTGATTGGGAGATGGACAGGAAGGTGCATAATAGATTTTTGCATCTCTCGCTTCTAATATTCTATAATGATTCCCATAAAATTAAGTCTATCTTATTTTTTTTCAATTTTTCATACATTCTGAAGCAAGTCCATCCTTCACAGATTAGATGCCAAGAGGCAGTTCACATCTTCAATGTGTGAGAGTTTCAGAACATCACAGTGTTTGTGGCTTCTGAGGATAAATGCAATGGGTTTAAAATAACATTTTTTCCATTTAATAGTGGGGTGTTTTTCAGTGGCCAGCTGAATCGTGAGTGGGAAAGATGTGGCCAAGACTATGAAAATGTTTGAGAACTCCTGCCTTAGATACATTTATAAAATATTATCTGTCATCTGCAGTCAGATAAGAAACTTCTTTTGGCAAAGTGATTTTCCAGTTTCTTAATTCTCAGCTCAACTTCCTGAGCTGTTACTCTCCAATATCCTATAGAGAAGATCTATAGAAGTTATTTCATGAAGAGGAAAACTATATTACTTACCAGCAGCTGGAGTTCTCCAGGTACCTCTGTAACGAATCTCCACAAATTGAATTTAATGTTCAATTGGGACACAGACTCTTTAAAAAGAAAGTTCTTTCCTCAAGCATGCAGAAAGAATACCATCAGTGCCCCTTGAGATCAAAGAGAGTGTCATCTTGTGGCCCTTGATTAAGTTAAAGACTTAATCACATGTTTAAGTCCATCACTGTTCCCTTGCTTGAGTCCCATTGACTTAAAGTTAAGCACATGCTTAATGCTGTCCTGAATTGGGCTAATACTCATATAACCTCACTACTAACCTTTTGCCACAAGTTAATGGATCTTTATATTGGATTATTGTGGTTCCTGCAGATAAAGCCTGAAGCCGATATTGGTAGGTGCAAGTAGCATAACTTGTACCACAGCTTGCAGTCTGCCTTTTTAAAAAGTAACAATGACTTCTCAGCATTCACACATCATAGAGTGTGGATCTAAAGGAGCTAGTGATTAAGACCCTGATCTTGCAGACACTCAAGCATGTGTATTCCTTAGTCCTATTGACTTCTGTAGGGTTACTCAGGTGAGCAGAGTTACACACATGCTTAAGTGTTTTGTAGGACTAGAGCCTAAGAAGCCACCAACGTCTTGAAAGCAACCTGATTATTTTCAGTGCAAGACACAACAAATATATTACTATGTAGGAGTTGGGACACAGCAATCTTAAACTTGAATATTAAGTATCTTTTATTTACAGTAATTCTCTTTGACTGTGACTTTGTACTGCACTTTTTACTATAGAGTAACCTTACAGTGAGATGTTTCCTAGACAGCATTATGTTTAACATCAGTATTTGCTCCCTATCCTCTGCCTCTTCTCTAAAAATTAATTTTAAAAATGTGCTTCAAAATAAGATCCTCAATAAATTTTGGTATGGACTGCATTTCTCCATCTTAATGGAAAATAAATATATTATTTTGTTTTGCTTTACATTCTAGATACCGTACTCTTCAGCATCTCCTGGGAATTATGTAGTAAGTACCCTTGTGTGTGTTTGCTCATTAGAATTGATGTTACATGTTATTTAGGCACAGAAATAGTTGTCCAGATGTTAAGAAGAACCCTTGTGTATTGGTTGAGAAGTGAACATCTGATCTGTGTTTAGTTGTTTTGTCTGCCATCTACTGCACATATGTTGGTGTTCATTACTAGAACAGTTATCAGTCTGGTCAAAATTGCCTTGAGTGCTGTGGTTTACTTCAGCATATGTTTCTGTAACCAATGCAATACTTCAATACTTCAATACTAAAGGAGAAAAAACAGCCTTTTCTTGGTGACACCATAATGTGCTTGAATTTTTGAAGCTCTGGAGAAAAAAATTCATTGGAAGAACTAGAAAAGCTTAAACCTCCCAAAAGATATATAGCACACCACTTAAAAAGACACTCACAGCTAATGTTTTATGGGACATTTTTACTCTCTGTTGCTTTTAATTACCTCCTGAAGGCCTGAAAACTCCTTTTTTCAACAACTACCTGAGTGCTACCCTGTCAGCTGCTGGGTCCTGATCACTGAGAGCTACAAGGGATAAAACAACCACTATCTCATACTCCTCAAGGTCCTAGTCACCGAAAGCTTTGGGGGATGAGAGGTCTACAACTGTGGGACTGATAGCCTTGCACTCAAAGCTGACAAGTACCATCAAGAGGAGCATGACCATTAGATCTCCCTTAAAGACGTCTCAGTCCCCGTAGACCTTAGATCCCAAAATGGGTGTTACTGGGGCTCCAAGTGTGTCCTGTATCATAAAGGTGTCTAAGGCTTCTAAAAGCCATGCCTCTTCCAAACAAGACCCAGAACTGAAGACCTTCTCTGTTACAGGTCACAGCCATATTAGCAGACATTCTACGATGAAGAGATCAACACCATCTGGCTCTCTGGTGCACTCAGTACCTGCTTCGATACCCTGGTCTGCATCTCCTGAATAAATGTTTGTGTAGGCTCACCTTATGGCACATACTAGCCAGATACCCACCTTGGTACTGATATCAACCTCCATCATTCCTGTGGTACCACAGGAGTTCTGGTACTCAAGAGACATCTTTGTACCTAATGAACCAGAGTCTTCCCTACTGTCTGCTTCTGCACATCCTTCAGTACCTATATCCTCTGGGTCACTGAAGGCACTTTTCTCATCAAGACCTCCCCGATTCCCTGACTTCTGCCATCCAGGGAGAAGTCAGTCCATGGAATATATTGAAGGATATTCTCACTCTGACTCATAACTCTGTGTTCAGGAATCTCCTGTTTATTCAATGGGACATTATTCTTCTCCACATGTGGAGAGAGGGAGGAGAGGCGACCTCGACCTCCAGCCACCTGAGGTGACCAACAGTGGCTATCTCTTCCTCCTATGTCTTATGGTCCATCTCAGTGGCCTTATTGGGCTCCATGGGCCCTGTACTGTCAACAACTTCTGACGGGGGAAGGGAGAAGTTCACTCTGCAGTGAGCATAGAAACTCTTGCTCTTCCTTACCTTCACTTCCTCCTCCACTTGAAGAACAAGAGGTGTAAGGGCGGGCTGTCATTATTAGATGAGGCTGTAATGCCTCCACCACCTTCCATAGCACATGACATTATACAATTCCAGGACTTGAAGAAGTGAATTGTGGATAGGCTTCAGAATTCTTGTGAAGAAGTCCAGGGCCCCCATGATAAACTCCTGAACATTTTACACTTTTCAGCTTAGTTACGCATGCCACTCCCAGTTAATGAGGCTTTTTGGAGCCAGACAGGACCATCTGGCAGACTCCGGCTGTGGCACCCCCAACTTGCAAATGTGCTGACAAGAAATGCATGTCCCAGAGGAGAATTCAGAATTTGATTTTCACCTCCCTCACTGAATTCCTTGGTTGTGGATGCAGTTAATGAGTGCAGGAGGCAACACAACACAAAAACTACCCCATAAAATAAAGACCAGAAGAGATCTATACTCCTGCAAATAAGAAAAATATAGCAGGTCTCAAACAGTGCAGAGGTCATGCCCAGCTCATTTTTCTAGTTTCCGTAGACCTCCTGAACCACAAGCTGAGACCGAGGTATTCAAAGAAGAAAACATCTACTACAACCACTACATTGCAGCCACCAGCATTGTCCAAGTGTCAGTTTTGATGGCTTGGTCAAGAGTCTAAACCACCCATTTCACACAAATCTATTGCTGCACTAACCAACCCTCTTCCCTGCCATTGGATTCTGCCTCTCCCATTTTCAAGGCGCCTGTGAGAGAATAACATCCAACAAATGGATTTTAAAGCTTGTAACATCTGACTATTCCATCCATTTCACCTCCATCTGTCCCTCCCACCCCGTTCCTTTTCAGGGACCCATCTGACGATCAGTTGCTGAATCAGAAGGTTGCCTCTCTCCTACGTTTAGGGGCCATAGAACCAGTTTCACTTCAGCACCAGGGAAAAGGATTCTATTCCAAGTAATTTCTGGTCCCCAAAAAGACTGGGGGATGGAAACCAAATTCCATTTTAGACATTTCAACAACATGAAACAACAGAAATTCAAGATGGTGACCCTTGCAGAAAAGCAGTATATATTCCCTTTCTAGATTCCGGGGATTGGTTTGTGACACGCTATCTTCAAGACATGTATTTCCATATTGTGATTCACCTCTCTCACAAGAGGTTTCTTCAATTTACAGTCAATCACAAACACTTTCAATATACTTTCAGCCTCTCCTCTGCCCCAAGGGTATTCTCAAAGGTGATGAAAGTCAGAGCCACTCGCCAGTGTCCTCTAGACATTGTTGTCTTCTCTTATCTCAATGAGTGGTTACTCCGGAGCCTATCTGATCAGGAGGTCCTATCAACACTACAGATGACATGCTCCTTGTTTCACACCTGTGGTATCCAGATCAATCTAGTAAAGTCCATTTTGATCCTGGTTCAACAGATAGATTTCATAGGAGCCTTTCCAGATGCCATGATAGCCAGGGCTTACCTACCTGTGGACAGGTTTGTGGTTCTGCAGACTCTTATTGCAAAGATTCAGTTAAGTCCTCAAACTTCGGCAAGGAATTGTCTTCAGCTATTGGGCCATATTGCGGCATGCATCTTTGTGAGCTAGCATGTCACATCCTATCTCCACTGTCTACACAACAAACAAGCACAGCCTCAACAAACAGGTCAGGTCTCTAATCCCCATTGAGTTCTACACTTGCTCACTTGTGGAAGAACCCATCCAAAGTCTGTTCGGGAATCCCCTTCTTTCAACCTCCTCCAACCACCATTATCTGTTCAGGTATCCCTCTTGGGATGGGAGCATATCTTGGTCCTCACATCATCCAAGGCAAGTTTCTTCCCAAGAGAGTCACCTACATGTCAACATTCTGGAGTTGAGGCAGTCAGGAATGCTTACTCCCACTTTCTCCCACTGATCAAAGCCAAATCAGTCAAGATCATCACAGACAATGTGGCCTGCATGTTCTACATCAATAGTCAGGGTTGGACGTGTTCCCCCTTACTCTGTGCCGAAGCAGTGAAGATCTGAAGTTGGTGCATTGCCAACCACATAGCCATCTCAGCTTCTTACCTCCACTGCATACAAAACGTTACTGCCAACCACCTAAGCAGACACTTTTCTCATTTACTACTGGGAGTTGGATTCATGAGTCCTCCAGAGTATATTTCTAACCTGGGGACTTCCAAAGGTGGATCTTTTTGCTACTGCCACCAATGTAAAGTGTAAGAAGTTTTGCTCTGGGCAAGACTCAATTCTGTGTCTGGGATGTATTCCCACCCATGCCATTGATCTTGAAAGTTCTCAACAAGATTAAGCAGGACAAGGCCAAAATCATTTTGACTGTACCAACTTGACCAAGACAAGTTTGGTACCTTATCTGATTCAATTCACATTTTGTCTGCTGCTGAGACTTCCTCTCGATTACCACCTGTTGTCTCGGGATGCTGGTTGGACACTTCACCCCAATTTGGATGTTTTGTGACTTCAAGCATGGCTAGATGATTCTTGGGGTTAGAGATTTCCTGCTCAACAGCGGTATAACAGGTTTTGTTAAATAGCGGAAAAACATCTACTAGAAATACCTTCTGAAATGGAAGAGATTTCACCTATGGTGTCTCCGTCAACAAGTGCTTCCTATCTGTTCTTCTCTTCCACCATTCTGGAATACCTGTTAGAATTGAAAAGATCAGTATGAGTTCTTCCAAGGTTTACTTGGTGACTGTAACAGCTTTTCACTCATCAGTGGAAGGTTTTTCGATTTTTGCTTACCCCATAACCTCAAGATTTCTTAAAGGTCTGATGAGTCTTTATCCATAGGTTAGAGAACCTGCCCCAGTATGGGATTTAAACCTTGTCCTAAATGGCCTTATGACACATCCCTTTGAACCATTAGTTACATGTTTTCTACTCCACTTCTCTTTGAAAACAGCTTTCTTGGAAGGCATCACTTCCACATGGAGAGTGGGAGAATGGGGGGCTCTAATAGCAGATCCCCCTTTACAGTATTTTTCAAGGAAAAGGTTTTAAAATGGCCACATCCCAAGTTCCTACCCAAAGTGTCCTCTGAATTTCATCTTAACCAGACCATTCATTTACTGTTTCCCCCCAAAACCACATCATTTCAAAACAGGAAGCTACTTTCCATTCCTTAGATGTCAGAAGGGTGTTAGATCTTTTATCTAGACTGGACCAAGCCATATTGAAAGTCTCCCAGACTGTTTTGATTTAGGACAGCACAGGCGCCTGAGGCCAAGCTGTGGGGAAGCGCTTACCTTGCCCAAGGCACGGGCGTCGGGGTCCTCTTTCTTCCTCCACTCCACCAGACCACCGCCTGAGGCTCTTTTCTGGGGCTGACCGTGGAGGCTGAGCCAGAAGCCCTGCTGTCGCGCCCGTCGCCGGGCTTGTGCCACGTGCGCTAAGCAGAGCTATGGAGCTCTGCCCAGCCACCGGCGCCCCCGCTGGCAATGAGAAGAATCGCATGGGATGGAGCGGCCGCTGCGCTGGGAGGGAGAGGGAGTCTGAGCCACCGGCAGGCGCGCAGACACAGGGGAACCCCTGGGCTGCCTGCGGTGCGCGGACACAGGGGAACCCCTGGGCTGCCTGCCGACGGCTCAGACTCCCTCTCCCTCCCAGCACAGCGGCCGCTGAAACGATGTAAAAAAAAATTTGGGGTGCCGCTTTTTGGTGCCCCCAAATCTGGGCGCCCTAGGCAACCGCCTAGTTGGCCTAAATGGTAGCACCAGCCCTGGCTCCTTCTGGTGCCCACAATTTTTTCCTGACCGTTTATATTTTTTGACTTTTTTAAAGGATGTTGAAAAACTGGAGCGAGTGCACCAAAAAGCCACAAAAATTATTTGAGGGCTGGAGAAAATTCCTTACAGTCAGAGACTTAATGAGTTCAGTCTGTTTAATTTATCAAAAAGAAGAGAGGTGACTTGATTACAACGTACCTTTATGGGAGAAAATACTGGGTACTAACGGGCTCTTCCTTTTAGCAGACAAAGGCATAACAAGCAGCAGTGGCTGGAAGCTGAAACCAGATCATAGAATCATAGACTATCAGGGTTGGAAGGGACCTCAGGAGGTCATCTAGTCCAACCCCCTGCTCAAAGCAGGACCAATTCCCAACTAAATCCCCAACAGATACATTCATATTTAAAAAATCGGGACACATTTTTAATAGTGAGGGTGATTAGCCATTGGAACAAACTACCAAGGGTCGTGGTGGATTCTCCATCAGCGTCAATTTTTAAATCAAGATGGGATGTTTTCCTAAAAGTTATGCTCTAGGAATTATTTTGGGAAAGTTCTAGGGCCTGCATCACATAGATCAGACTTCATGATCACAGTGGTCACTTCTGGCCAGTTAATCTACACAGGGATAACTGGTTGAAATTGAATGGCCTGTGATACACAGGAGGTCAGATTAGATGATCTAATGGTCCCTTATGGTCTAAACTCCATGAATCTATGACATCTGTAGTGGAACAAATCTTGTTAGTAGATACAGGAGGCACTCCATGGTCTTGCTCAATACACTACTGAAGGAGAAGTGCAGGATAGTGACTGGTAATTGGTAGGTTATATTGTCAATCATTTAAGGGGTCAGAGATGTACGTGTATGTATGTGTGTATGTAGATTGGTGGTATACAGGGACATATTATTATTGGATAATAGATTTGTGTTTAGATTAAAGTTATTTGTTAAATTTATTCATTAACTTGCAGCCAGCGGTATTAACCCACAAATATCTCAAGTATTTTATTTATACCAGCTCAGAGGCAGGGGCAGCAATGACTAATGCAGCATTACTGACTTCCATTATAGCATAAGCCTGGAAATAGTGTTCATGAATGCATTGCTGCTGCTTCAGAGCCAGTAAATGGTGTGTTTTGTAGGGCCAGGGGCGGCTCCAGGCACCAGCGCACCAAGCGTGTGCCTGGGGTGGCAAGCTGTGGGAGGCGGCCTGCCGGTCACCGTGAGGGTGGCAGTCAGGCTGCCTTCAGCAACATGCCTGTGGAAGGTCCGCCGGTCCCGCGGTTTCGGCTGCAATTCAGCGCCGAGTACGCCGAAGGCGCAGGACTGGCGGACCTCCCGTAGGCATGCCGCCAAATCCAGCGGACCTCCCACAGGCATGCCGCCGAAGGCTGCCTGACTGCCATACTTGGGGTGGCAAAATACACAAAGATATTTTTCAATTGTTCTAATTCCAAAACTTCCCCCTGCCTTCCAAAAATGTGTTGGTCATATTATAGCAAATCTCAGCAATGCCCCTTCAAGCAAACAGGAACAATCACACTTTGAAATCTCAGTATGCTCCATGTCATGAAGTGAACAGAATGGATATTGAACCAAAATCATTCTTTTTGATAGAAAATGTGCTATTTTTAAATAGCAGTACAGACCTATGACAATGAAAACTGCGTTCTAGTGATAGCAATTTATAGCATTTTTATTATGGAAAATTTCAGGGTTAATTTTTTATTGCATATTAGAATATTTGAATCAAAACTGTAACCAGTCAACTTTTCATTGTACTTCAAGATATTACTGTAGCTGCAAATGTGGCACAGAAGAAATTATGGTGCTGATGATGCTAAAGAATTAAGTTATTTAGAACAAAACAATAGGAGTAATTTTTTTAAAGAAAATGAAAAGAACAGCTTGTTCAATAACCAGTGCAGTCTGTTTAAATTGTTTGTTTTCACAGAAAAAATTGCAACACAGAAATACAGAAAATTAACAGAAAAAAAGAAAATAGACATTTCTTATTTTTAAATGGATTTAGCAAATACTAGATGAGCTCCCATTCTCTTTTATCTGTAATGTAATAGCAATATATCTGCAGATCTGTACTCAGAATTACCAAGCTGATCTTGTGCTGAGACTTTGCCATTAATCTCAAGTCATTTATCCTGAGTTATATGTGTACAAATATGAAAAAAAGAGAATGTGTGATGTTTTATTAACTGAATTTAGTTTATCAGGGCCTGGATCCACCAAAGTTTGAGCCACACATTCCACAGAGAGAGACTTCCACTGAACACCTCTTCTTCTCCCATGTGATCCCTGTACAGTGTGACAACAAGCAGTAGCTTATTCTGCCAGTTTTGACACTACAGTTAGCAACCTGCTGCATCACAGTCAGTGAGGAGAGAGCAATACCAGCTGGAAAATTGGCTATAGTAGAGAATCAGCTGTATATTAACAGCCCTGGACCCTGAACAAAGCATCCCTTCTGTACTCCAATACTGGCAGACAGTAGCAGAACCCAAAGTTTTTGAGCACTGGATCTCTCTGGATCCAGGGATCTACACATATTGGGATTCAGGGCTTGAGCCTGCAGATCCATGGCACTAGCTTTAGTCTGAGTAAATTCACTGGTTTACAGGAAAATAGACGATGGAGTACATCTTTCTTTTGTTCTATGGAAATATGTTCCTTTTCACCAGAACAACTCACAACCTTTATGATGTGCTTTTGTCACTTGGATTATCTTCAGTCTTTACTGTTATATTTTTCCTTTTATATTAACTGAATATTTTCTACCCCTTTTAGGGTCCTCCAGGGGGTGGAGGGCCACCAGGAACACCCATCATGCCAAGTCCTGCAGGTATCCAAATCTAATCAGAAAATTTAAAGACAATGTAAATAACATTGGGGGGGTAATATACAGATTCTGTATTCCAGTTCTTGCTGTGCCCATTTGCTACCAGTGCAGACAAATGGACAAATCCACCTTATATATATTTCAGCAAGCAACAGCCAATGAAAAGCTCTCACTTTTGCACTCTTCTTCTCTGTCTCCCTTCCTCCATCCCTCCCTCCCTCCTCAGACTTCCTCCTGCTTTGCTGGAGAGATGCAGTATGGTTGGTAATTTGATTTTACTGGCTCCATCCAGGGCTTTCAAGACCATTTTTTTTCTGGTCTCCATTAGCAACCTGAAGGAAAAAGAGAGAGAAAACAGAATGTGCATTGTTTCTGCTAGTGTTGTTCAGTGCACATTTGCCAGCAACTTTTATGTATCCTGTGAGACGGTTCCTAGAGTATCCAGCTGGGGGACGCTTCAAGTGGAGTTTAAAGGAGTGTCCCATAGCTTCAGCTCAGCCAGCTAGCTCTGCATTAAGAAGAGTAGCAAGTGTTTCCCTACATCAGGGTTCTCCAAAGTTCCTGACGTGAACGAAGAATCAGAAGAGGTTGTGGAGGGTGGACATACACAAGACTTCCTCTCCTCCCATGGATAGCATCAGGGATCTGGTAAGCAGGAAGTGTTTGCCTCTGATCTGGTATCCCGACTTAACCGATCTTCACTAGATCAATCAGACGACTTCTGGGAATCTTCCACTCCTAAGAAGCACATCTCCTTCTCATCCTCCTTTCATCAACCAAGAGGTCATTGATCACCACTTCTAGAGACCTTTCCATCTCTGTGACACCTTACATCTTCAGACCCACATATTCCTACCTCCCTGCCATCATTACTTGCACAAAGGATAGGGAAGTCTTTTTTAAGAGCCAGAAGCAGAGCTTCCCAACCCTTCCATGGAAGTTTTCCTTTGCTGATGGAAAAACTTCATTAAATATGTGGCTAGAATTTTAAAAACACAACCTCTGATAGAAAAAAAGGAGGACTTCTCTCCTGTTCAATACTTAAGAAGATGACTAATATGTGCTAGCAGATAAATATTCAATGTAATGTAAAAACAAGCTCCGCAATAGCATGTACTTCTGAAAACATTCAACACAGCAGTAAATTGCCAGTGGCATATGTAAGTGGCTAATGTGGACTATGAACAAGCCTTTTGTTTTGATGGAGGAAAGAGAAGCCGTGGAATAAAAATATTCAAGTAACAGCCACCAGGAAAGCTACCAAGGGAACTAATCTCTGAAAACAAAACCCTCCAACTGTTAGTGTCCCAGTGGACCAAACCACTGGTATGTGTTTAAGACAATAACTAACAGAAAGTAGAGCCATGATTCCTTGAGGAGAGCCATGTTATCTGTTTTCAGAAGGACCTGGTGGTTGAAGAACTTGTTTCTCAGTGACAGCAGAAGAAGCCAAATAGGATTTTTTTTCAATCTCTGAGACAGAGAGAGAGAGAGAGATTTTATGCCAGTCTGAATGCTTGGGTCTAGCTCCTCTCCTGGGATGGATGGAGGAGACAGTACAGTAGAATCTTTGTAGTGATATTCCATGCATATAATGGGTTTATTATCTCACCAATATTAGTTAATGCTTAGAAAATTGTACCGAAGTAGTGAGGCTCTTGAAGGAAATATACATTGGGCTTGATTTTAACCCCTTGGAGTAGGTATCACACTTTCTAGCTTTAGCCAAGGATGCATTCCTAATTCCTAGGCATTTCAGTAAGGCATGTGCTTTTCCTCCTTTCACCTTTCTATGTAAATAGAGGTAAATTCTGTTTCAAAGGACATGCACAGGGTCTCCCATTGCCCCCACTTTGTCTCAGAAAGTGGTTAACTATCTGTGATCTGTTAAGCTCAAAGCTCTCTTGAGTCTTTTTTACATTGTCTATAGGGCAGAGAAAGGGGAGATTTTGTGGAGGAATTGTGGAACACAGCTACTTGGCTGTCTCTCCACTCTTTCTACAAACATCATAGATGTGATATAATTCCATTGTTGGATGTGTCCTTTTGCACTTGGTGATTCACAGAGACTAATTGCTTTTGTTGGATGGGATGGGATGCCCCTGACCAAGTGTTCTCAACTGCTATTTTCTTGGGAAAATGGTCTCCCTATGTTGTCTCCATGGCTACAGTCCTTTTTTGTCTTCTCTTCTCTGCAAAATGTCTATGAGGAATCCTTACCACTGGTGGCAAGCCATGGTTCAAAACCAAGAATTTCTTACCTACTAATTATTTTCTGGGCCCTGGCTTCTACTCAACCCTTAGTTCAGTCAAATAGTTCCATAGGTTTCATTGTCTTGTTAGTTAAAATCGAGATTTTAGCTTTGGAAGTTTTCAAGCCTTAGGGAGAGAGAACGAGACAGCGTTTAGCTGGCTGAGAGACATGAAAATTAGAGCTTTTCATTGGCTGCTACTAACCTGAAATCTGCATAAGGAAGAGCTACCCATTGATCAGCACTGGTGGAAACCAGAGCATAAAAGTATTTAGTAAGTGAGAAATTCTCCTTTCACAGAGACTGCAGAAAGTTAGTAAAGTAATCTGGAGGTTTTAGAAAAAGTGTTTTAGGAACTAAGTGGTTACAAATTTTTGAAGATTTATAGACATGTTAACAATAATGCATAAACTCAGTCTAGAAGTAGTCACAGAAGCCATTTAGGGAGCATTGCAATTATTTCTTTTCATAGCTCTGCCATTTGGCTAAGAATAGAGATACAATGAAATCTTCCACTATATTGTCACTCTGTAACATTGGATCAGACATAGGAGAAATATTAACAAAATGATGAGAAAGTGTAGTAGGTAAGCAGTTTTATCTCAAATCACATCTTGGTAATTAAAATAATATTTGTTTCAGATTCAACTAACTCTGGAGATAACATGTACACTTTAATGAATGCAGTTCCACCTGGACCCAACAGATCTAATGTAAATATGAACCTATCATGTATTTTTCTGCACTGTGAAGCCCTGTTTGATTCATGCACTGACTCACCAGACCTTCATTTTATCTGAATCATGCTTATCTTTCCCATTTTGAGTGGGTACACATCACTTGCTTCCCATCATCAAAACTCATATTTTTCTGAATCTTTAATGTCTCTGAAATATTTCAAATCAGTCTTGTGGTACATACACAACAATCCTTTAGCACCTTGAATACCTTGAAATTTGTGCATATAAAAACTTTAAGCATGTAAATCTGTTAGGTAGATAACTAAATTTGTCATCCTGGGGTATGCTGTTCTGGTCACAGTAGTACACCCTATCAGCTACCATTAGTATGTGCAGAACTTAAACTTCAATTACAAAAATATATTTCTACTTAATAATGCAAGGAAAACTTCTGAATGTGACCCAGTCAATTATTTATTACCAATTCTATAGATGGATAAAATCAATAGCTTTCTCAAGGGTGAGATCTGCCTTGTTCATTTGAGTAGTGTTAAATATGAAGCTTAATGACAACCATTAAATATTAACTATGATACCACTGATTATTTTAGGCAAAACATCCAGCCATTCTGGAAGTGATGAAAACTTGGATTTTTAGAAAGAACTTTCTTCTCCGTCTAACCCTTATAGTTGCCCTCAATTTAGATGTCATTTATGCATGCAGACCACATAGTTAGAGGTCCATTTGAAAAAAGGCCACAAGAACTTAAGTAATGGTTTAATTGTAGTGCATTTATTGAAATTCATTGCATGTTTATCTAGAAGTGCTGTAAATATCTGTGTTCTCAATTTGAAGACCCAGGTTTAATGATAAACTGTGAAATCTAAATGCTGAACTGGCAGAACTTTATATTGTTGCAGTGGTAATGCACAGTAGTCTGCTGTGATGCTCAGCACAGGTAGGATGGGATTTCCAAAAGTGGACTATGCTGGCCTAACTCTGCTCTCATTGAAGTCAATAGTGAAACTCCCATTAACTTCAACAGGAGCAGATTTTAGTAATCACTGAGCACTTTTGAAAGTCCCAACCATAGTACTTCAGTAGGACATAAGCGGTACATAGGCTAAGGGCTAACTCTCTGCACAGACATGAATTCTCCAGCGGTGCAGAACACAGTAACTGAGGTAAAGGCTGGGAAAAAAGTGAAAAAATGTAAACGAAAATCACATACAAATAATCCACTCAGAGATAGACTATACAATTCAGTTTCTCAATTTCTATTTTTGTTCCTATTTCTGTGTTTTTATTAAATTATCTGCAATATATTCTTGCATTAATATCAATTTTAATATATTATCATAATCCTTTTACAGTTTCCAATGGGCCCAGGGTCAGATGGACCTATGGGTGGATTGGGTGGAATGGAATCACATCATATGAATGGATCTTTAGGTAAGGATAACAAATCTAGTAAATACTGATTTTAGATCTGTTTTTTTATGAGTAACTCCACAATAACCACAGCTCTAAATTGTGTGGGCAATTGTATATACAATCATTTGAAAATTAGAAATACTGTATCAACATCAATCAGAAGTTCAAAAATGTTTTATGTAATCTTATGTATCTGGTCTAATAAGGTGTCGCTTATAAATATTGTATAGTAACAGAATATAATTTTTAAACCTCTTCTATAGTACACTATGTTAAACTCATGTGGAAGATGACAAAAGCTTTCTCCTCCTCCCTATTTCCCCAGTCCCCCACAATAACACAAGTAATCAGAAGATGTCTTTATCACAAATTGGTGCAGGTGCTTACATATATGTATATTTATATATCATATAAATAATATATGGAGACAATATACCACATCTATTGATATCTATGTATTAAATTGTGAAACCAAATGATAAATTATATTGATCGTGCAGTTTTAACTGTCTCACTTGCACTCTACCCATTCATCCATCCTCCCAAGCATTACTTTTAATAGCTCATCCCCATGAAACAGCTTCAAATAGCTTCTGTTTTTCATCAGCCTGCCAGAGGAATGTTTGAAATGTTTTCTTCTTTCTCCCCAAATGTGAACTCTCCTGCAAAATTACACCTGACATTACAGATATGATATTTGTATGTATAGAAAAGCCATGTTAGGTAACTTTTAGAGGTCATTTAATATTTATTAGCTATATTTTTCTTTTTATAATATCGGTCTGGCCCAATGAACACATTATAAAAGCTATGCGGGTAAGAAGTGAAGAAGAAATGGAAACAGTGTAGATTGCAGGGCATTGCAGGCTGCAGACATGGAAATCCTACAAAGCTCCAAAGGTGTTCAGTCATTGAGAGGTCTGTGTAGATTATAATTTCCGAGAAGTAGTGATATCTGGGGGGGTTAGGAGCCTTGTAGAATTATACAAAATTTGCAGTTGTTCAACCCTGACCCTTCCTCACAGACTTTCTGCCCTGCACTTCAGGTTATGCCAGAAGAAGTTAGCATAGTTCAGGCCTGAATCTAAACCAGAAACCGAAGATTGTTAGACAAGATGCATGGAAGAATGAGAATGAGGAGGAGAGTGGAGAAAGCTATGGTAAAATGAGAAAATTGGATTTTAAGCTAAGGAAAGAATGCACCAAAACCTCTCTTAGCAGACTGATCCTGAGGAATTAAAATTCAACAATAACAAATTCCCAACAATCTATATGGAGCATGTCTCTGAACTTCCTAGATTACTTTGAATAAGGCTATCTTGTGATTTTGCAGCAGACCTTTTATGAATATTTTTTGTAAAATGGCTTCATTTTTTAATTAAAAATAATGCACATTATTTCCAAGTCAATTAAAAACTCTTTTTTGAACTTCATCACAAACTTTTGCTGTAATATATTGTAGCCTGACAATAACTTCTTAGTTATAAGATTAATTACAACTGAAGTGATAGTGGAAGAACTTTATGTGCACTAAGCATATGATTAGTATTTTCATCAGTAAACATGATTGCATATATTCAGTGTTTAACAAATTAAGTATGACAGATTTTCCACTATAGTTTTTTTAATATACAATTAGCGACTCTTGGAAAGCTACAGCGCACTAAAAATGATGGTTATTTTTTCCATCAGGAGCATTAGCTGTCTATAGATATGTTTACAATTTCCTCTAGTTACAACAGTGTTAATATTGGGTTGCTACTTAGGCACTGCCATGGGAGAGGAGCAATGCAGAGCTGCACCTCCCAGGGGAGCTCCTTGAGCTTCCCAGTGTATAAGGATAGTGTACAGGCTGCCCCATCCTAAAGAATGCCAATGCAGAACACTGTAGAGTCCGATGCTGTGACCTGTCCTCCTCCCTACCACTTTGCAATGAGGTATATACCTGGGGCCATACACAGAAAGCAGGGACTGTGATTGCCTTTGGCAGACAGAAGGCATCTTCCCACACAAACTGCAGGCACAACCATGCAAGAAGACCCTAACACTAACAGACTACTATAATGACTGAAGAATTTTCCTGAGTGGGAAGGGAAGAACCAAACATAACTAACTATATGTTAGCCCATTGCTGTTATACTATCTTTTCAAAGTGCAGAAAATGATAAACTCTTAGAGACTGCAGTTCAAAACTAATCTAAATGATTATTTATTTATTTTAATTTAAGGCTCAGGAGACATGGACAGTATTTCCAAAGTGAGTATGTAATATATTTAATTTTAGCATTATATTTTACTGTATTTAAGTATCACGTAATTTTGGTTGTTAAAACTTTTTTTTTACATTTCTGATTGCAAATTAAATGTGTATTATGGGCCTTTCAGCTCTTTCAGGCAGATTCAGCATTAGTTGGAAGGTTAAAAGTAATCTTTATAGTCAATAGGGACTATTAAACCAATTCATTTATATATTTTCCTGAACATAATAATGGTCATTACTGCATGTGATTAATGTACATCCAAGTCATAAACTAATTTATTATGTTACATTGTTACATGTTGGTAAAACAAATGAATACAGTTTTAATAATCAAACTTAGTGAAATGTGGGAAGAGAGAAATTTGGAGATTTGTCATAAGGATATTATTTTTATGCATTGTATCATAGCTTTTCTCACCTTTAGAAGACAATGCTAATAGCCTTAATCAGCACTCCAATTCCCTAAAAACTAAATTAAAATGTAATGAGAGAAGAAACTGTATTTTGAGCATAGAAACAGTTTATCAGTATATGAAATATGAATGTTCAACCATTAGTGGTTGGCACCTACAAAAATAATACAGTATTTGAATGCACAATATTTTTTGTAAAAATTTGCTAACTCTGAGGTTATTAATTTAAGGGTTGATTTAAATGAGGAATCGATGAGTGAAGGTATTAGAATTAGACCCATATAAAATATTCTGTGCTGCTTCTTCGACATGTACAGATATAACTGGTTAAAAACTAATCATTCTGCACTTTTGTGTTTTGATCTATAAAGATATAAATTAATTAAATAATTGTTTCATTGTTTATTCATTTGAAATGCTAGAATGAAATTCTCAGCCATCTCCCAAAAGAACGAAATGAGTTTCTTTTGAGAAACCTACATGTTTTAGATTGAGATTTTGAGCTCACTAAATATAGTTTAGGATAGGATTTCAAGATATGGTGTCATTATTCTGTCATGGAAATTCTAGCTTTTCCTTGTAGCAGAGCATCAGAAGATAATGCAGCAATCTGTGACATCTGTCCAAGAGGCCCAGAGCTATGTAAAAAGTGATTGCAGTGAAACCTGAAAGCATGCATAACTCACCTGGTTTCATTACAAACTCAAAACCCTGAGCTGTTTCATCAAAAGGTTCACTCTTGTTCACAAACCTTTGGAGTGAGTTTGGGCCAATTTATGACTTTAACTAAGTCCCATGGAATTTACAGTATGACGCAAAATTAGATGACATCTGGTGGTTTTAACTTAAATGTCACTGAGACAAGCAAGTTTCCATATTACAGATGTTATCACAGAAATTGTTTGTGGAAATTAAGTGTGCAGTTGCACACATTTTTGCATTTGTTGCTAGTTCCTCAGGCCCAGTTGAGTTCTGCTTGACACAAGACCTGAATGGAATAAAAAAGCATTTTAGTGAGGCTGATCGTCTTGTGCATGAGGTTTAGAAAATTAGCCCAGACTTGCTAGAATACATTTTACATCAGAGCAGTTCATTGTTACGGTGTGTAGAAAAGGTTATAATTGACTGACTGAGTGGCAAAGTATAAAGTGTTTATGAGGTGGAGTGAGGTAGAGAAAACAAGAAAACTGAAATTGTGCATATAAGAGAGGCTCTAATAACTAGGGCTGTCGATTAATCGCAATTAACTCATGCGATTAACTCAAAAAATTAATCATGATTAAAAAAATTAATTGTGATCAATCACACTGTTAAACAATAGAATACCAATTGAAATTTAGTAAATATTTTTGGATGTTTTTCTACATTTTCAAATATATTGATTTCTATTACAACACAGAATACAAAGTGTAAAGTGCTCACTTTATATTAATATTTTCATTACAAATATTTGCACTGTAAAAATGATAAACAAAAGAAATAGTATTTTTCAATTCAAATCATATAAGTACTGTAGTGCAATCTCTTTATTGTGAAATTGTAACTTACAAATGTAGGGTTTTTTTGTTACATAACTGCACTCAAAAACAAAACAATTTAAAACTTTAGAGCCTACAAGTCCACTCAGTCCTACTTCTTGTTCAGCCAATCGCTAAGACAAACAAGTTTGTTTACATTTATGGGAGTTACTGCTGCCTGCTTCTTATTTACAATGTCACCTGAAAATGAGAACAGGCTTTCGCATGGTACTTTCATAGCCGACATTGCAAGGTATTTACGTGCCAGATATGCTAAACATTCGTATGCCCCTTCATGCTTCGCCACCATTCCAGAGGACATGCCTCCATGCTGGTAACGCTTGTTAAAAAAATAATGCATTAATTAAATTTGTGACTGAACTCCTTAGGTGAGAATTGTATGTCTCCTGTTCTGTTTTACCTGCATTCTGCCATATATTTCATGTTATAGCAGTCTTGGATGATGACCCAGCACATGTTGTTCGTTTTAAGAACACTTTCACAGCAGATTTGACAAAACGCAAAGAAGGTACCAATGTGAGATTTTTAAAAATAGCTACAGCACTCGACCCAAGGCTTAAGAATCTGAAGTACCGTCCAAAATCTGAGAGGGACGAGGTGTGGAGCATGCTTTCAGAAGTCTTAAAAGAGCAACACTCCGATACGGAAACTACAGAACCTGAACCACTAAAAAAGAAAATCAACCTTCTGCTGGTGGCATCTGATTCAGATGAGATTGTTATCGAGCAGAACCCTTCATCAGCATGGACGCATGTCCCCTGGAATGGTGGTTGAAGCATGAAGGGACATATGAATATTTAGCGCATCTGGCACATAAATATCTTGCGACGCCGGCTACAACAGTGCCATGCGAACACCTGTTCTCACTTTCAGGTGACATTGTAAACAAGAAGTGGGCAGCATTATCGCCTGCAAATTGTAACCAAACTTGTTTATCTGAGCGATTGGCTGACATAAGACTTAAGTAGGACTTCTAGGCGCGAAAGTTTTACATTGTTTTATTTTTGAATGCAGTTTTTTTTGTACATAATTCTACATTTGCAAGTTCAACTTTCATTATAAAGAGATTGCACTACAATACCTGTATTAGGTGAATTGAAAAATACTATTTCTTTTGGTTTTTACAGTGCAAATATTTGTAATAAAAAATAAATATAAAGTGAGCACTGTACAGTTTGTATTCTATTATAATTGAAATCAATATATTTGAAAATGTAGAAAACATCCACAAATATTTAAATAAATGGTATTCTATTATTGTTTAACAGTGCCATTAATCACAATTAATTTTTTTAATTGCTTGACAGCCCTACTAATAACCAAAACTTCTTGAATTACCAATGGAATTTGTGCAGTCATCAAAGAAAAACATGCTTTGGAGGCTTTGCTCATGCAGCTGCACTAGGCCCCATACTGGCCATCAAAGCAGCCCAGCAAGAGATGGTATGAAAGTCAGGAATTTGAATCTTTGGGGCAGGCATACTGTAGTGAATGCAAAATTTCAAAGTTCCGTGCTACACAGGGAAAAACAGAAAGATAAAATAGGGGTAGATCTCTAAGGAACAAACAAAAGTGCTGAAAGATCACATAAAATAAATTTTACAATGGTTTAGCTGCTTTTTAACTTTTTATACCTAACATTACAGCAGCTTACATATTATGGAGTCACTGGTCATGACTGCACAGTTAACGTTGATTCAAAAATTTAAAATCTTCATTTGAATAAATAAAATGGAAAAAACCCAAACACAGAAAGTAAACTTTAAACAATAATTTATTTTTTCCTGATTGTCTGATGAAAATTGGTTTGATACAGAAAGAATAGTAAGTAGCAAAATTACCAATTTTTATAATTTTGGGGAGGTCTTTCACCACCTTTTGGACACCTTTTGCAAAAAAAACAAAAGCACTCTGAAATCTGTGACTTGCACCACATGCTGCTCCTCATATGCTGATAAATACAGTATCAGTTATACCTAGGTGATGTTTGTATCATGATTTTAAGATTTTTTCTTCATAATGGGAAAGAAACATGCCATTCTTGTCCCACCATATTTGGCCTTACACAGCTACTTAGGATAAAATTATGACTCTGCGGGAGTTGGGGGCAAAAATTTAACAGCAACCTCAGCAATGTTAAGGCAGAATAACTTCCTAAGTGTATTAAATATGACAGTTAAATGTGCCAATTTGTTGATAGAAAAGCATTTTAGCCATTGTTAAGGTTTTGCACCGAAGTTTGAGTTTGATGAAGTTGGAGTCATATTGTTTTTCAGTATCTGCATGGAGGTGGAAGTGAAAGCCTTATGGAGTGTTGGAGTATGTTATCAATATCGCTGTAGGTTATATGAGAGTGGCAAGGAATGCAGGAGACTTTTCCCTTAACTTGCTTTTTGGATTCTAAATTGGTGGGAGTGTGTCCTGATTCAACCTTAACTGTCACTGAATGATGTTTCTGTGCGTTTATTTTAATAGAAGAATGTGTTCTGATATAAACAAGCTTTAAAAAAATCTTTGTATTAAACAGATGTTAATGTAGTTGAGATTTAACATGCACAAAAGATGACAAATTGAGTTATAATTCTCATAGCAAGGGTAACTTGGTCCCCTTGCGCAAATGTAGTATTTTGTGCTATGCTATATAGTGTTAACTTACATGACTTGATAGAATGTATGTTATGTGATAGATGACTGCATTAGGTTTGATGTGATTATCCAAATTTTGAGCCTCCTGGCAATCTCAACAGTAATATTACATTGGCAGGTTTTTTGCATTTAAGTTTTTGCTTAAAAATGAAAAAGGAAGAACCGTGATTCCTATAATAAATGTTTTATGCATGAAACTCACAACTCCTTCTCCCCCCCTCCCCACAAAGCATATGTAAATTGGAGCCTAGTGGTTGGGGGTGGATATAATCCATACCCCCAACTTCTCTGCACCCCTCCCTAGTCATTGATGCAGCCTTCAAGCTGGAGTAGCCGTTGCTGTACTTTGTCCCACACAGGGGTGTTTCTGTTATTGGGATCCATGTAAGCAGAGCTCCAGTAACCCCTCCCCCTGGCCTGCCCACCAACATATTTTGAGCCACCTCAAAGCCCTTCTGCACAGTAGATATGGAGGCTGCCCTCCTCACCCAAGAGGGATACTACCGGTCTTCTGTGATGTAACACCTGACAGTGACCTTTCTCCAACAAGTGGAATTTTACCCCGTTTGCATTTGTTTCAATCAAAGAGTCAAACCCACTGAATACAGAGTGTATTTATTTGAAAGGTCTGACATGTATTTTGAATCCTGTCATGAATGTATTTTTCTGTGAATGTGTAGCTATCCCAGGGATCGGCAACCTTTGGCACACGGCTTGCCAGGGTAAGCACCCTGGCGAGCGGCGTGCCAAAGGTTGCCGATCCCTGAGCTATCCACATATAGGCTTACTCATGCCAGCTGCTATCTGGCAATCAGTGCATAGTTAATTCAGAAAGGAAAGTAACATACTGCACTCAAGCACCATACTGTTACATTTTGTTACTTCTTTATTTCTCAACCAGCGATTTTCACACATGAGAAATCAGTGTTCCTTAATAATAATACACACTTGCTCCATTTAACTGTTAAAACAAAACCTTGTTTGTTACCCAAGTGAAAAACGCATTTAAATAACTTTTAAAAAAAACTAACAAGATTTGTAACGCTTTCTGAAGAAAACATGCAACTTTGGGCTAAAAGTAAAGCTATGCAAAACACCTGTATCAAATGTCCACTAGTAAAGTGGTTTAGTAGCTCATAACTTTGAGCTATTTTGAGGTTATTAAGCACACTGGTAGCACAAACTAAAAAATATAGTGAGCTATTATAATTATAGGGCCCAGTCTTATCCCCACTGAAGTCGATTGGAGTTAACCTATTAGCAGAGACCCCCTAGCTACATACCATAGCAGGTGAAGTGCCAGAACTTGTAGGTTCTCTAGAGCATGAGCTCTTGCAAGACAACCTCCAGGCTTATTGCATAATGCCTACATTGAGAGAAGGGAAGTAGATGATTCCCAGAATGAAGATAGCAAACTGTTCCCTTGGAGGTTTAAGTTCATCAGTTTCATACCTCCACATTAACATGAAAAGGTTGTTTCATGGCAAAACCATGCTGAATCAAACTGCGGGTTCACTTTTTTCAACCATACATTACCTTGCTTTAGCTGAAGGGAAGCAGAAGAAATTTCAGCCCAATGACTAGCTTTTGAAAAAGTTAGAAGCATCTGACAGTAGGATTTTAGGCCATGTCTACACTAGAGACCGTACAGCATCACAGCTCTCTCGTCGACATAGTTAAAACACCCCCAAAGAGTGACGGTAGCTATGTTGGTGCTCCCCCCAACATAGTGCTGTCCACACCGGCGCTTCTGTCAGTGTAACTGATGTCACCCAGGAGGGTGGTTTTTCACACCCCTGAGCGACATACGTTATACTGACAAAAGTGCTAGTGGTAGACATAGCCTTAGAGTGAACGTTTCTTCTTTGTTCTAAGAGAGACAAGGTGGGTAAGGTAATATGTTTTATTGGACCAACTTCTGTTGGTGAGAGAGACAAGATTTTGAGCTACACAGAGCTCTTCTTCAGGTCTGGGAAAAGTACTCAGATTGTCATAGCTGAATACAAGGTGGAACAAATTGTTTACCATAAGTAGTTAATACATATGTCAAGGGACCATTCAAGGTGAAGTGGCCCATTAACACCCCTCCAGTCATAGGGGGAAAAGGAAGGGAGGGGAGAAAGGCAGCTGGTGTGGGGGGTTGTTCATGGATTATAGATGTGATAAGCCCCAAGGAGCTTACAGTCAGGATAGTGTCTGTCTGTTATATTCAGCAGCAGGTACAGTACGTGCATAACATCCACTGGTGAAGTGGTTTAGCAGCCCATAACTGTGATCTTGGGGTAATTCCCAACCAGCCACACACTAGTGGTGGAGACCCCAAATATAGGCCTTCATTCAGCAAGGTACTTAAGCATGTGAACACTACTCATGCACTTAAAGTTACGCATAAGCTTGATTGCTGAATCAGGGCAATAGTGATTTATTTTAATTACAGAGCATAATCTTGCTCCCAATCAAGTCAAGTGTAGTTTTTCCACTGACTTCAGTGGAAAAATGTTCCAGGCCTAACCTGAGAACAAGAACTACAGGTAAGTAATTTTCTTCATTTTATAGGCGGGAAACAGCTTTTTCCAGATTACAAACATTCATTCAAATATATGTAGTGCAGAGCTGTGATGGCAAGATATATTCTGTGTCATTTTCAGAGATTCCAGTGGGTAGTGTAGGTGTTGTTTTGACAAACATTATGAAGCAAGGAAAGGAATTCAAATCTACAACATACTTACCCTTTATTTTTAAATCCTATTTACCAGAACTCTCCCAGTAATATGAGCATGAGTAATCAGCCTGGCACTCCCAGAGATGATGGTGAAATGGGTGGAAATTTCCTAAACCCTTTTCAGAGTGAGAGTGTAAGTATTTCTTTGACTATTTTGTTATATGACAGGTACTCAATCCCAGGATCTTTTCAGGAAAAGCAGTTGTATCTTTAATACAATTTTTGTCTATATTTTTACAAGTCCCTAATATTATAATATTGATCTGCTGAACAAAAATTGTGCTAAATAATATCAAGGATTGAATTTAAACTTTAAAAGCCAGGAGGCAGAGAGTTACTTCAGAAATTCCATCCCTAACTTAAGTGGTCAGTACATAACAAAAGTAAGATGCACAGGAGTAATAATTATCCTAGAGTCAGCCATACCATATGCATATTCAGAAATGCATGATGAGATGTGCATTTGTCAGTCAAACTCTGAACAGCGTAGTTGATCCTCATATTCTGTTAATCTTTCCAAAGTGGTCTCTCAGTTTCTGACTGCCCAATCTTTGACCCCTTGGGTAGTATGTTTTCCAGAGTAGGAATGTCTTTCAGAACTGTATCTACACTGAAAGCACATAGTTAGATCACTAAGAAATCTAAAAGACTTATTATTTCATAAAACATGACATGGTTTTAGGTCTAGAAAAACAAAGATGCCCTCTAGTGTTCATTCTGTGACAATTAAAACTCTTAAAAATGCTGAGTGGTTGAGGCTAAGCAAAAATTATTTAAAATACTTTCCAAAGTAAGTAAAGACCAAAATGTTCATGGCCAGGTGCCTCAAGTTAGATTTCTAAATCCCCATTTAATCTCCTAAATAGAAGTGTCCTGATTTTTCAGAAGTGCTGAGTGGCTTCAATGCTTCTGTTCTTAGTGGCATTCACTGCTGTCAGAAGTGAGTACAACTCTATTAATTTAGCCGGGTATCTATGAAGATTAAACATATTTTCTCCTATTCATACCAAGGTCAATTGGCATGGCAAGTTTCATGAAAATCAGACTGAATTTTTGTTTTGCTTCTTCGGTAGACATTAACATGAGTGTGAAGAAAAAGCAATTTTTTTACATTTTAGCTACAGTATGTGTTTCTTTATGAAGAGGGCATCTTTGAATTATTTGAAATGGTAGGGAAAATGACTTTGTACAAAATGTCTTCAGAAAAAGAGTGATGTTTCAAAATTTGCAAAAGAACAATAACCAAAATTCCCCCATCAAGTTTGATCCTGTATAGTCAAGATAGTGCTTTACTCGATGCAGACAGTCCAGACAATCTGAAAGCTCAGACAGAGCCCAGTTCACCAAACCAAACTCATTAAAAGAATGATATATACTATCAGTAATACACCACAGAAAATTAGTTTTCTTAGACACTTACTGTATGCTTAATGCTCCTGGCTGCTGTTTTCCTACTTGAATGAATCCATGACTTGACTTTCCTAACATTTTGCAAGAATTGTATTTCTAGATACCAGTAACAAGCCAAAGGTTAGTCTCCTGGGGCTCTGTCATTCTTTCTCTGCCACTTATCTACCGCTTCCTTTCCTAGCTTCTTAGAATGGATATTATTATTAGGCCAAATCCTGGGGTCCCTGCTCAGGCAAATTCCCATTAAATTCACCAGGAATTTGCTTGAAAATAAGGGCAGCATGTTAATAACAATAATACAAATTAATAACGAATATAGTATTTTATCTGTATACAACACAGAACAATATATATTCACTGCCACAACTTCTTCCAGAGGGATGAGCACTTTGGCCACAGTCCAGCACAGCAGTTAAGTAGATGCTTAACTTTGAACATCTGAGTGGGCCCATTCAGTGACTGCTCACATACTTAAAATTAAGCGCATGCTTAATTGCTTTCCAGGATCAGGATGAGAGGGCTCAGAAGCTGATAGGAACAAGCCCTAAATCAGACGAGACCAAACAAAGAAAATTATGAAGGTCAAAACAGATTTTCCCAATTAGTCTGTTCTAAGCATCTTGTATTAGAGAGACGATCTAACCAAAACCCTGGTTCTGAACATCCTTCAACACTGGGAAAAGGTCAGATACAAACTCCTGGGCTGTGGGTCATTTCTAATTATATATCATTTGTAGAAAGGCAAAATTAATATTTAGCACTATCTCACACCAGGTTCAACAATACCAATATGTTTATATCCAGACATTTCCCCCTACATAAAGGACTTTAAGCTAATGAAATATTTCTTCAGCCTGCAAGTTCCAGGTAAAATAAGAATTAAAATGTGTATCTCTTGGAGGTTTTGTGGTATCTGATTAGTAACTTGTGATGAGGTATTGTTAACTTGAGGAGGATTGTAGCCTGTATCAGGGCTGCAGTTCAATTTGTATTACAATTATATTGCAGTCTAATGTAATGATTGGATTTCCAGTTTGCATAAAGAATGACCACTGAAATTTGATGCAACTAGCCTCCTAAAATCTATACTGTAGTAGAATTTCAGAGTAATCCAAAGGTCTGATTTCATTCCAGTATGTCATCTCTCCACCGCCTTTCCACCCCATATAGTGGAGAGCCCATTCAGATGGGTACCTGGTCCACAAGTGGACCTTCTACCAGGCCCCCAAGATGTCTAAGTGAAGGGAATGGTAGAGCACCCAAGGAAATGCAGACAGCATTAGCCAATAGGATCCTCTGGAGCTTTAGCTGCAACTGAAAGCTGCCCTCCAATCTAGTTTTACTTATTCATCTCATAAGTTATGTTGTATTTTATAATAAATAAAGTTATATATACAATGAATGTAAAATGCATTACAAATGACACTGCAGTCCTGACACAAGTTACAGTACAACTCTAGGATAAGATTAAAATCACCTGTGTGAGAAAGAGAATACTGACCTGAAATTCAAGCTCACTGTTGTTATGCTCCTGGCAGAATGTTAGTAACCTATGAAATAATTGTTGTTAAAATGTGGATTCCTCTTTTTCAGTACTCCCCCAGCATGACAATGAGTGTGTGATCCATACCAAGTCTCCTCATGAAGACCGCAGTGAGTTGGCCCTCTTCAGAGAGCTACTACAGAAGAAAATTACAAGTCCCAGTGTACAGTTTAACAAAAGGATCTCAGACACAACCAGACCCACCATCTTTTCCTACCATCTCCCCAGTTTTGTGAAGAAAGTGGGTCCAAACATGATTCAAACAACTGTAAAGAGTGGCATAACAGAACTGCCCAAGAGTGAACTGCAAACAATTATCTGTGTATGTATAAGTGCGGATAGATGTATATGTGTGTGGATATGTTATATTGACATACATACACACACATATACATATATAGACCTGCAGGACATTGTAAAATATTATCACATGACATCTTAAGTAGAAATAAGATATAGAGACTTTATTCCATCTTTTTTTCACGTTTACATTTTAACTATTAAAATTTGCGTTCCCTCTCCCCCCCCGAACTGTTCTGTGCTACGTATATCACTGCTTTATAAATTATTTTTTAAGGTGAACCCAAATGGTCAATTGTTCTGATTTTGTAAATGTCTGCCATCATGGATAGGAATAAAATTGCTCATAAGAGGGCTTTCATAAACTTGTATTTCATACCAGTTACCCTGTGAATCTCAAACTGTACTCTCTCAAGAAATAGAAGAAAGCTCATATTAATTTTGTGGGGAAATTTAATAATTTGTCACCTGGCTTTGGTGGTGGTTGTGTTTTTTTGTGGTTTTGTTTTGTTTTGTTTTTGTGTTTAGTACCTTTAAAAATAGGAGCACTGAAGGTTATTTTTCTTCCTCAAATGAGGCCTAAGATCTGCAAAATCTACTTTAAATGGAAGTCTGAGTTTGATACAAGATTCTCAGTTTATTCAGAGTATTTTAAAGTTGCTGTAAGTGAGCTCCAATTGCTATAGGACCTAGCTATAACGTGGCAGGGCTTCTTCAGTCCTTGGAAATAAGTTTTCCCTTTAGCCTGATCTTCCATGTGCGTGGTGGCAAGTAGAAATACAATACAATCCCTATTACTGAAACCTCTTTTTCTAACAAACTACCAGCTTGTCACCCTTTTCAATTGATTCTTGGCTGACTCCCAATTATCCATAGTTCTGATTATCAGAACATATTTAGGGTCTGCCAAGCGATTCAGATAATCAGGACTGTACTTGATTAGTTATTTTTCACCAGGAATACTAGAGCTGAACTCCTTAGAAACTTTCCAGTACATAATCACATTAGTGAACCAAAATGATTGAGCATTTTGTGGGTACTTCCCATGCAAGGAATGTTGGAAGGCTCATGCCCTTATACCAGAAACAGAACAGGAACAGAGGTCTGAGCCTTTTTATAAGAAAATCAGTATACTGTATTTCCAAACTTTGGAAATCGGGGTGGAAAAAAGGAGAGTGATTATACAGTTTCCTGTACCATCAAGGAAAAGGGGGGTAAAGCTCTAAAATCTAACATTATATTACATTTAATTCCTAATGACTCCCACCTTCCCCAAGAAAATGAAAGGTTGTACCTGCGTGGTATGAAAAAGGGTGATGTTCAGTACCTCAGGCACAAAGTGTCTGAATTAAATTCATTCTGCAGATACCAAGCAATGTTCACCCCTCAAAATTCACACCTCAGTGGGACATCCCCAAAATATGGTGCTCACCTGCAGATTTGTGAGGAGAATTTTGCCCTTAAATTGTGATAAAGGGTTGCATGTTATGGGGTCAGTGTGCAGGGAGACGCACATCACTGCATGTGTCAGGAGTAGATCAAATTCCCTATGAGCATATAAATGAATAAAATTAGAATGTCTTTTACCCCACTGTTGGAACTACATAAAGATTAATCTCTCCTTAGGTACCAGACTGTTACTTGAAATTGTATTCAAATTTTTAAAATTTTATGAAAAGTTTACCTTTAGTTAATAATAATAATGATAATTTGTAACCTTAAATTAGAAGTATTGACATGGTTCTGTTTACTTTACTCCCGGTTATTATTGAGTTTAAGTTCATTTATTCATCTTTTGAAAACAAATAGTTTTTTGCTGTCTCTCAAAAAGATCCTTGGAACACTAATCAGTTTCACTTACAAAAAATTTCAAAATTAGACCCCAATCCTGCAACACACTTGTATTTAACTTGACTACTGTGAGTAGTCTCATTGATTTCAGTGGGACTACTCACAGTAGTGAAGTTAAATGTGCTCACAACCTTAGTATTCACCACATAAATGAAATAACACCTTTTGTTTAAACATTTTCTTTTTCTCTTTTAGTTTTATATTAGTTTAGTTTATGGATTCCTTCATGGGGGAATAAATATGACCATTAAATAAAAATGATGCAAACCAGAATATAAAATAGAAATCATATCCTTTAAAATAGACCTGTCAAAAATGTACTAAATTTTCAGGACTATAATTTTAAAGGTAAAATCACTGTCAAAATATTTTCTCCTAGTTTACCTACAATAATATGATATGCTTCTGGCAACATAGAGTTTTTTCCTGTGATTTTTATCCCAATTTTATCCCACTTGTAGCACAACCTCTCAACTTCTTGTGCCCTCGCCTCCTTTTCCATCCCTTCCAAAACATTTGTGTTAAATTAAATTGCTGAGTAATGGGATAGATCCTGCATCACTAAAGTCACTTAGAATTTTGTCATTGGCTTAAAAGGGATCAGGATCAGCCCCGACAGTACTTAAGTTGGAATTATAGACCCTAGTCCTGCAAAGAATTAAACATGTACATATCTTTTCACACCTTATTAGTCACATAGACTCCAGTGAGACCACTCAGCTATGTAAAGTTGCACATGTGCTTGTCTTTGAAAGATCAGGGCTGTACATAATTAAAGATGGAAAAAGACCCATTTGATCATCCGATGCATCTCTTGAATTGTTATGACAAACTTCATCACACATAAGTAATGGATCTCTGCTACTCTTACCTTCCTTTTTTAGAGAATGATCCTGCAAAAGTTTACATACTTAAGTAAAGTTACTCACATACATGTTGGCAGGATCAGGTACTTATGTCATACATACACACGTTCTGCAGCTAAGCCACAGGGAATAATAGTTGTATTTGCTAAATATGCAACATATTCAAAGGATGCCTTTAGCTTTCAAATTTGTATCCGGTTTTTTGTTTGTTAACTTTCTTTTGCTTACAAAACTCTTTTATAAGTTTGCAGTATAGAGACCAAAATTGAGATGGAAGAAAATTTTATTTCCAAGCACTGATTTTTTTTCCTCCCACTGGTGTTTCTCATGCACTAGTTGTTGATGTGTGCTGTAACTGCTGTTTGTTTTTATGCTTATGCACCAGCATTGTCAGATGGAAATTGTCCGGATCTGGAAATAATGCTAATTTACGGGCAACAGGTCAGCTTTTGCAATAGGTTTTAAGATAGTGGTCTTTTTATGTTTTTTTTTAATATGGAGAAGAGTAAGACCTGATTTGCCAAACACTTTTTTTTTTCAGTAAAATATTTTAAGAGATGAGATGGAGCCTTAGAACATCGAAAGCAGGGAATAGTGGATTTTCTTTCTCTCTATAGAGATGCCGGTTGAAATCCTGGTCCTATTGAAGTGAGTAGGAGTTTTGCCTCTGATTTCAATGGAAGCAGGATTTCACTGTCTGTGTAAACATTTGCAAAGGAATCTTCATGTCCATATTTTATTTCCACACAAAGGTTTTGTGGAGACAATAACTCCCCTTCCATATTCGTTAAAAAAAGGAGTGGGTGAAAGAGATTGTGAATCACAAGAACAATAGGCTGCCTGAAATGTACATTAAAAAGTACCTTAATATTTTTATATATAGATAGGGCACTTATATTATTTTGCTAGTGAATTTGTGTGTGAAGAACTGAAGTTGAGCTCTGTGTTGCTCCTCAATTTATTTTAAAATGAATTTAGAGTTCATGAAAGGTGCTGGGTTTGAAAGCCCTTGAGACTAGTCTTTTGTGCACCCCATACTGCCCCGGTAATGTGCCTCAAACTTGATCTGGAGGGCCTACCATTTAAAAGAGAGAGAGTAGTTCTGTCTCCAGTTCATGAAGTCATTAGCCTCTCTGCTGAGTGCCACAGTTGCCAATTTTTATTTGGACGCCTGCTCATTAGGAATTGGACCACCAGCTTATTAGACAATCAACTATAGTAATAACTTTCAGTCACCAACCTGCTCCAGTTTTGAAGTAGTGACCCATAGGTGAAAAGCACCATTTTTCATAGAATCATAAAATATCAGGGTTGGAAGGGACCTCAGGAAGTCACCTAGTCCAACCCCCTGCTCAAAGCAGGACCAATTCCCAACTAAATCATCCCAGCCAGGGCTTTGTCAAGCCTGACCTTAAAAACCTCTAAGGAAGGAGATTCCACCACCTCCCTAGGTAACCCATTCATGAGCCTGAGACATCCATCCCCCTATGAGCTTTGTATTTTAAAGGGAAATATTTTAGTTTAATTAATTATTTTGAGTAGATCAAACTAGCGGAGGTGATTAAAAACTTTCTTCTGTGTGAATCATAGAAATATGGGGTTGTAAGGGACCTCGAGAGGCAAGACTAAGTATTCCTAGACCATCTGTGGCAGGTGTTTGTTAAATCTGTTCTTTAAAACCTTCCATGACAGGGATTCCACAACAACGCTTAATAACCTATTGCAGTAATTAACTATCCTTGTAATTTGAAAGATTTTCCTAATACATAACCTCATCTCCCTTGCTGCAGATTAATCCAATTACTTCTTGCCCTAACTTTAGTGGACACAGAGAACAATTATTCACCATCCTCTTTATAACACCCCTTAACAAATTTGAAGACTGTTATCAGGTCCCCCCCAAATCTTCTTTTCTCAAGACTAAACATGCCCAGTTTTTTAAACCTTTCCTCATAGGTCAGGTTTTCTAAACCTTTGAGCATTTGTGTTGCTCTCCTGTGAACTCTCTCCAGTTTGTCCATATCTTTCTTGAAGTGTGGTGCCCAAAACTGGACACCATACTCCATGAGGCTGGAATCTCTGCATCAGAAGGATAACAAATTCCTACAGTGGCTAAAACACATTTGGATTTTCCCCTGTCCCATGATTAGCAGATGAAATACTGTATGTAGAGAGGGTTTGGAATTAGATGGATAATTTAATGAGGGACCAGCTGTTACAATATTCAGAGTTGTATATTTTAATTTTTCCCCTTGTTATGACTTTTCAGCTGATAAATATTGCACTGATGTCTATTTCCTGGATCATTTAATTATTTGTTAAGTATTTTAGCTTTGTTCCTAGCCAACTCTAGTATTTTTTGTTGTTGTTAAATATGGGCTAAATTCTGCAAGATTTGGTCCTATACATTAAAAGTTGGAGGGCACAACAAATTTAGAGATTAATGATGCAAAAATAAAATTGCCAGCAGAAGTAAATTGCAAGTAATGATATAACACCTGATAGCACCTGTTCCAATCCCATTTGGGTTTGTTTGGGTGGCTTTGAGGGTGGGAATCATGTTGAAGCACATAGCTTGCAAATAAAAACTGTTAAACTCCCTTCCTTACAAGTGACAACTCATTTCTCTTCAAACAAG